ATGCTGAAATACTACGAAATAGAATAGAGCAAGGCTTCTGACAAATTCGAGAAACACCAGGAATGATAGAGAGAGTAACCAGATGAATGACAAGACGCGTGCAAGCTTGTCTTCAAATGCAAGATGGTCATTTCTAGCATCTTTTGTAAAAGTAATTAAAACAGAAAATTCATTATATCTCATAGACGAAGACAGATAGGACATATATTTATATGAATTTTTTTCATTATTTTTAGGCGTACAATCAGCTCTCGAAGTTGGTCCCAAGTTACGAAACATCCTGTATATATAGTATGTTCTCTGAAATGTGTATCTAAAAACCGATAATTTCGCGATTCTAATTAAATGAACGTTCACGTAGCCTTACAGAGCGATGTATCCATCCTACAACAACAGCACGCGCGAAGGATTTTTATTGCTAGCCCATTGTTTGCAACCGAAAAGTCGTGGCAGCGTTTCGGTAAAATCCAGCAACATTCGTCATCAACCAAAGATTGATCCTGCTTATCTTCGAGACTACGACGACGTTCTGTGCAGTCACCGTGGTATGGAAATTCCTTTACGAACGATGAAGCCAGTTTTTTTTTTTTTTCTTAGAGTGCTATTTTTCTCGCTGGACGCTTTGAGCGATGAGGGCTGTAAACTTTTCCAGCTGTAAACTTCGCCATTCAGACGGTCGAGACGCCCAAGTTTCGCGAATACGGCGCGAAAGTTCATCATCCTGACTTGGAAGAGTGTCGGCATTTGCCACGTGACTATCGAGACTTGGAATACACGGAATGCGTGCTGAGGGTCGCGGCCCTGACGAGCTATCACGTTTGCGGCACCTGCAGGATGGGTGCTGCCGACGATCGTTCAGTCGTCGACGAGAAATTACGGTAAAAAAAGTTTCGTTCGTCGGTGAAATTGATTCGCGAATAACGTGACGTGGAGATCATTTCGATCGGTGTAAATTTTCTTTTTTTTTTTTGGTTTCAGAGTGAGAGGTGTGAAAAGACTGAGGATAATAGACAGCAGTGTGTTACCGTCTCCCATTTCCGGTAATCCGAATTCCGTTGTGATCGCCATAGCGGAACGAGCAAGCGATGTGATTCTCGATCGCACATCTTAATTGACAAATCTGATCGTGTTCGCGTCGAAACAGAGAAAAAAGAAAATGTATTATTTTTAAAAGCACGTTGAATCTAGTTAATTAAACGGTTGGACCAAACGATCGAGTAGATTATTCTACGTACCTACGTTCCAGTGGACTTTGAACATCGTTCGATTCATTCGACGAGGACGATGAAAGGGACAGGGTCCAAAGAAAAGGCGGCTGGTCAGATTTTTTGTAATTTATAATTAATGGTAAAGTTTTCTTGTTTTACAGTAATCGAACAGTTATTAATAGTCTAATTAAATTTCGATTAATTTTTATACAAACAAAAAAGAGGCTGAGTTACACTCATCTCGGCGTAGCACGAACCCCTGCCACCCTGTTCGCGCTCGGAGAAAAAAGAAAATGAAAAAGAAAAAAATATACCGTAACGCCACTTCGCTTTCGCGTCTTTTTTTTTTTTTTTTTTTTTTTACTTCCCCTCTACGTTTTTCCATTCAAAAAAGTTCATCGTAACACGTAATGAATCGCGATCGTAATCATCATCATCATCATCATCATTATCATCATCATTTAAACCCTAACCGGATTCGTTGAAGATGGCAGAGTTTCGACTCGTTCTTCGTTTCTATTCCACTTTCTTTTCTTTTCTCACGTCCATTCACAATCATTTCTCTCTCTCTCTCTCTCTCATTCAGTGTCTCGAGCATTCGTATTCAAAATCATCTTTTTTTTCGCATTTCGCACAGGAATCATCTTCTGGAAACACACACCATATATGTTCAAATTATGGTAGAAAAATGAATTTTTAACACGAATTCGAAACGCATTCATGCGCTACATCCCGTATAAATAAAATAATCCTGTAAATAGAATGCAAAGTGTTATTTTTCACAGACAAAAGAACGCAATCTTGCGCGTACCGTTCACGCACGAGGCATTCGCCATTTTGCCGCCTCGGCTTTTCAGCTCTCATTCATTCTCTCTCTCTCTCTCTCTCACACACACACACACCTTTTCTCTCTCCTTCTCATCCTTTCATTACGTATTCATCGCGTTCCTTCTCTCGCGTCTATTACGCTTCCTTCTTCACCCCCAGATTTATCTCATAATTGTAACGCAAAACTTAATCTTTCAACTTAAAAACAAAATTGGTAACCACCGTGTGTCGATCTGCGGTGCAAGCCACGATCTTTCTCTCCTCGCACGATTTTTTTTTTTTTTTTTCTTTTTTTGGGAGAACAAAACACGCAACAAGAATGATCGATTTCTAGCGAATCGACGTCGACGAAAGAGATCGCCGAGGAACGACGTGATCAACGTCGACGAGACGACGAGAATTCTCATTTTCATCGATAAAAGCTACGTTTTTTCTCGCGTCCTTCGTTCAAATTCTCCTGTAAAAATCATATTGAAAAAAAAAAAAAAAAAGGAAAAAAGAAACATTGAAACGAAGTGTCCCAATCCTCCTTTCTGTTCCCCGAAGGAACGATCGATCGGTCGTATCGTTCGTCAAAAGAAGAAACTGAAAAGAACATGGACTTTAGCGGGGAATTAAAACGCGAAATAAAAAAAAAAAAATATATCGGCGAGCGACCGAACCTTGAAAAAAAAAAAAATCTTTTCGACACTTTTTCTCCCTCCCCCCCCCCCGAGGTTTTTATATCCCCTTAAGCGTTCTCAAAGCGACAGGAAATGCCCAGAGTACGTCTCCTCGATGTCGTCGTTCCTCGTTTATCCCTTAACCAACGTCGACGCTCAATCGAAATTTTCGCTCGCGACGAAAAAAGAGGAGAAACTGTGGGATTGTGTGGCGTGCACCGCGTGATCCAGCGATTTGCAAATCGCGTTTTTTTATTCTCTTAATTCTTTCGTCGCATCTTCGCGTTTTCTTTTTTTTCTCCTCTCTTCTTCTTCTCCTTCTTATAGTGCGCGTTTGTGTACGTTTTATGATTCTATCTGTGTTTGTTTGTTTGTTTTGTGTGTGTGTGTGTGTGTGTGTGTGTGCGTGTTTGTGTGTATGTGTGTGTGTGTGTGTACATAATATATTTCAATTTAATTTATATTTTTCATCTCTTGTCTTCGACTTGCAATGTCGCATTGCGGGGCGACGAGTTCAGGGCACGCTTACGATCTAAACAAGTACCTCCTTAATGTTACATATAATATACTCTATCTATTTATATATTTATATCTATATATATATATATATATATATATATATATATCCATTTTATATTTATATTGAAAAAATGAATGTACTCTTTCGTTCTATATTCAATAGGAATAGTTTATCGATTAATTTGCAATTGCGTGTAACATAGACGCGTCCAGCGCATAGAAACATAAATAAATAAATATAAACGGATGTTATTTACATATAAACGGTCGTCTGGCAGGGAGGACAGGATGGAGGCGTTAGGTTTTTGGGTTAGATACGGGCATGAGATGGAGAAAAGAAAGATGGGAGAACGGAGGACAGCATTATTATCCGATATATTTATTCGCGGCAGCTTCCGGCAGCTATAGTTCATCATCGCCACCATCATCGTCATCGTCATTATCATCATCATCGTTAAATCTCTCTTATATCTTATATAATTGTTACGTTTACGTATATTCGATTTTGTGGCGGTCTTCGCGGTTCTGCTTTTAGTTTCTCTCTTTATTCCATGTTCTTTCTTGTTACACGTTTTACTCTTCGTATTGTACAAAAAACGGCGAAACGCACGGTGTGTGTGTGTGTGTGTGTGTGTGTGTGTGTGTGTGTGTGTGTGTGTGTGTTTGTGCATTTGTGTATGTTACTCCGGACGTAAGAAAAATAATACTTCTCACGATTAATGGTGCACGTGAGGAAGAAAAACCGAGGAGGTACCGTAAGCGAATACGCAATTGTTATTTGTAATTAACTCGATCGTTAATATCTGTATGTGTGTATGTATTTGTGTGCATCTCATGCGAGTGTACAATACACGCGCGCGCGTGTGTGTGTGTGTGTGTGTATGTATATATATATATATATATTTACCAGAGTATATGCGTTTACGTGTAGCTACATGTACGTGTACGTTTGTTTCATTGAGGTAGAAGCGGTTTCGTATACCTATTATTATTATTAGTATTATTATTATTACTATTACTATTATTACTATTATTATTATTATTATTATATTATTACTATTATTATTATTATTATTATTATTATTATTATTATTATTATTATCGGTACAAGATTATGTCATAGATGCGCGAGAATTGAGATGATGGCTTGTCTGTTCCCGAGTATAATGAAATTCCGAACGTAGGGCGAAAGGGGCGATAGGTGAACGAGGAAATCAGGAAGATACGTCGTAGGGGAGGTCAGGTGCTGTGTTCAAGGAGAAAGACTTAACCGGCCACTTAACAAAGAACAAACGCATCTTAACAACAAGAACGCTTGGAAAACCACGGAGCGTTCCGTGGCGCGAAATTCAAAAAATATAAGGAATAATGTCTGCAGACGCGTCCGATGAACTCAACCTTAGGCGAGATGATTGCATCGCGACGAAATGCCGCGCGATAGGATAGAGACGGATCGACGATGGAAATTGTTCGTCCTGGCAAGGACAAAGAGAACAGAACAATCAACAAATTCATTCGAATCGAAAGAGATACGTGGCGAGCGAGCCAATGTTTGATCGCTCCTCTAACGCGCAATCCTCGTTAACCGTATAATAATCAGCGCGTTAATAATTGGTTTTTCGTTTTTTTCCTTTTTTTTTTTTTTTTTTTTTGTTCAGACGACACTCGTTTCCTCCCTCACGAATAAACCTTCCTCTTTATTAGCGTAGACGATATCGCTGTCGTAGAATGCTCTTTCCTTTTTCTTGTTCACCGAGGAAGCGAGAACGTTAGCGGTTCTAACAGGATACACGAGAACCAGGAGGAAACGTGTCGTTCGAGAGCAGATAATTAATCTGTTTTAATCAACACACTGTAACGAGCAACGTAGCGTTGTTGTCCCGCGAAACACGTTTCATTTATTATTATCTTTTTTTTTTTTTTTTGTTTGTTTCAGTGGTTCGTAGTGACGGTCGGCAATTATATCGTTAACAACAACGAACGGTTCCTTTCCGTTTCTGGTGAAAGACAGAAAGAAAAGGAGAAAAAGTGAAGAGAAAGTAAGAAGGGACGAGTCGGAGAAAGAGATACAGAGGAACGGCGTATAATGACACACCGATCGATCCCTACTTATACACTCGACTATTGCATCGCTTGATCATTGATTTATGTTATTTAATCTTATCGACTATTATACTTTGTAGTTTGTACTTGGTTTTCATTATTCCTGAGAAAAGGACACCGTGGGGCACAGATCGCGCCGTTTCCGACACAACGACGTCGATTTCGAATTTCCGAATTTCTTTTACTCTCTGACCTCTGTCTCAATTATCGTCTGCACTGTTTTCACTCGTCTTTTTTATTTTAATTTTTTTTTTATTTTTCACTTTTTTCCACTATCATTCCTTTTTCTTACTGTCGTCGTTCCCTTTAGAACACGTCGAGTACGTGCCAGTCGTCGACACTTCGTGTGACGTTCGTTTCTATCGCAAAATACCGTTTTCTTTCTTTTTTTTTCTTTTTTTTTCATTCCTTTAAATTTGTGCCATCTTCCTTTATGTACAGAGATTTACTTTTAAGCTTCTATTCGCTTCTTTGTTTCTTTTTCTTTTTTCTTTTTTTTCTTTTTGCTTTCTTCTGCACCCTGTATGTCGTGTGTGAGGTAGCATTTGTACTAGTGTGTATGACGAAGTATTGTGTTCCGTTACTGTGAAGGACGTGGAGGCAGGACGCGCGTCCGCGGACCGATCCCGGAAGGATTCGATCATTTAGTGGCAGTGTCAAGTTTCACCAGTCTTTTCATTCGTTCGGCTATCGACTGAAATCGTATATAACGAGCATTCGAACCTATTTTCCTGCGTGTCATTGGCAGGTATCTGCATTTTGTCTATTCTCCGGCGTTTAAATCGTCTTTCGAACGAGAGATTACGAAACGCGATCAAGAGTCTGCTGCCAACTGCCAGCAGCCTGTAGTATATAACCATCCCAACAACTCTCTGTAACTATAATATAAACTATTGCAGGCTATTT